GGTTTCTGAGGAGCAGCTGGTGAGCTTGAACCACCAACCTTGCAGTTCAAACCAACCTTGCAGTCCAGTGCAATAATCTTACAGTGCCACACCAGGACTCCATAGCTGATCTAAAAATGCCATAGAACATCTACTCTCCATTTATAAAGAGGCTTAAGTGTTCCATTCTCTGTACAGGGGAGTTAGCATGATTTTAAAAGGATGGGTTGTCAAACAAAGAGGTGTTCTTACTAGATGCGCTATGACCTAACAGAAAGGCACACTGGGTAAGGAAGCAGAGAGACCCACAAAGGCCTTGCCTATCCTGCTTTCTGATGACAAACATCTGGGCAATTAGAAAACACTAACATCCTCTGAGTCCATCCCAAGCCAATTACATTACAATCTGGGGATGCAGCTAAGGAAATGGTATTTTAAAAACCACTCCTTGTGATTATTATTTGGAGCCAGGGCTGGGAAACTCTGGGCTTTTGCAGACATTAAAACCAAGGTTTGGGCCACATCAAACTCAAACAGGTATCTCTGTTTAGAAAATTTAAAAAAATTAAGCACACATTTATATCTGACCATATTTACAGTGAGATACTCTTTGCAGGAGTCCTGGTATGGTGCTGTGGGTTAATGAGCCAGACTGCAAAGTTGGTTTGAATCACAAGGTCTGTGGCTCAAGCTCACCAGCTGCTTCTGGAAACCCTATACAGGGTTGCTATGGGTTGGAACTGACTCGATGGCACTTATCAACAAGAGCAACTCTTTGCATAGAGTTATTTCCATGTAAGTTATTAAATATAAGTAACTAAAAATATTTCATAAGTACTTTAATGATCTTTCTCTAAGGCTAAACAACACTAACCATAAATAACAAAATATTTAAGATTAAAATAGTTTTTAAAGAAGACCTTGTAATTATTTTTAATGAAATAATCTGAAGAATGTGTTGAAGTTTAAAAGTCCTTTAAACCTAGAGATGGATAGGACAAGTAGTGTTCTTCCTAACTCGAAGTACTTTTTAGATATCAGATCTCTTCTTCTGTTAACAATAAAAGAAAGCAAAATTAAAGAAAGAAAAAACTTAAAAAACAAAACAACACTTCTCAGACCAGAACTTAAAATGAAGGTGTTTAGAAACTAATATGTATCTTCTAGAATGTCCCCTTTAATAATATCATATTTTAAAACTCTACTAAACATCTTTACAGATAAGTACCTAGAATTTCAGTAATTCTAAAGGAGAAATTCTTTCTAGAGGAACTTTTGAGTTCTAGGGTAAAGGTGTCCTTAGAGATTTCACAACTTTGTGTAACCGTTCGTGGCAGGCTGGGAATAGAGGACCATGGGAGGCAGGGAGAAAGGGTAGAAATGTAAAGGCACCAAGTGAGTCCTTTCAGTTGTTTCCTGTTTCCTGTGCTGAATAATACAGGCTACGCTCACTAATTGTATCTGAAAATTCACTCTTGTGGGTAGACCAGAGACAAATGATCTCATTTCTATTTTTCATATTCATAACCCTGGATCCAGACCACAGAGCATGGTAAGGGCACAAAGTTCTAGATTGTCTATTTTGGATTTATCTGTCTCAGTTGTGTACCCTGAAAAAACTTGATTGCAAAAGACAGTGAAGAAATTAACTCATTCTCCTTGCTTTTAACATCTGTAGACTCCAAAGGGATGTTTGGAAGCACCGTTTGAGGAGCGAGACAAAGGTTTCGATCATGGCATTTTTTTCTGTAAGGAGCTTGTGTAACACAAGGATAACAAAAATTGAGAGTAAATGAAAATCACATGAAAATAGCTATCACCAATTTTGAAGAATTTCCAGAAGCACGCAATAAAAAGGTAGTCACAACTGAGGATCAATAAGGAAATCCTATTTACCTGAGAATGTTCTCCAGCATCACTGAGACAAACAGAAAAAACAAACCTGAAAATAAACTTGTTGTTCTTGTTAAGTGACGTAGAGTCGGTTCCAATCCATAGCAACCCTGTATAGGGTTTCCGAAGAACAGCTGGTGAGATTGAACCATTGACTTGGTGGTTCAAATGACTTTGCAGTCCAGCGCATTAAGCCGGCCTGGTGTTGGTGGTGTTGGTGATGTGCCATGGAGTCGGTTTTCCAAGGCTGTCAATCTTTATGGGAGCAGAAAGTCTCATCTTTCTCCCACAGAGCCGCTGGTAGTCTCAAACTGCTGACCTTGAGGTTAGCAGGCCGACTCATAACCACTATGCTACGAGAGCTCCTTTAACTCAGCCTAGCACTGAGTATTATATGAACAAACAATCAGCAGTGACACTTTTTTTCCTCCCAGTCAAGAGTTCAGCTAGGAAAAGGGCAGTATTTCTGAAGTGTCAGCTTTTACAAATGTTCTATTATGTTTTAAAAGTCCAAGTTCCATGATGGGCATGCTAATTTAAAACTTTTAGGACACTAAGATGTTTTTAATTTTAGCCTAAAGTACTAGGCTGAATGTTTCTCTCCTTGTTTGATACCAAGAACAAGATGTAGGAACCAGTTAAACTGGACAGTCCATCCTTTGTCTCTGCAAACTTCAATCTGATCCAGAAAATACTTTTTAGCATCTTCCTCATTTTTCCCTACTGTTAGGGCATCTCGAATATATTCAATATCTTCTTTGCTTGTTAACTGGGGCATTCCAGTCATCAGCATCATAGAGAACAGGATAATCAGCAGGTTTGTGTGATGACGAAGGGCTAGGTAGGCCCTGGCACAGACATCCTGGAGACAGAAGAAAAATACTGTGAATGTAGCCCTGGTGGAACAGCGGTTAGACACTCGGCTGATAACCGAAAGGTCAGTGGTTCAAGCCCACTAGCCACTCTGCAGGAGATGTGGCAGTCTGTTTTTGTAAAGATTAGTAGCCTTGGAAACCCTATGGAGTCAGAATCAACTTGGTGACGGTGAGTAGTTACATCTGAGTCAGCTGAGATCACTAGGGTGTACTGAAATTTACATACCTCATCATCCATGAAAAGAAACCCTCACCTTCTAGGCAGGTGCCTGCCTCAGAGGAAAACAAAACTCAGTGGGAGCATAAACTGTCTTTATAATCTCTGTAGGATTTTAGTGTAGTTGCACTATATATAGGGCATGCTCAAGGACATCTTATTGATACAGATATGTTTCAATGATTACTCTACCTTTTAATTTGGTCTCTTTCTGAGGAAATTGAGAATGGAAATTTCTATAGTCTCTGAAGAGGAATGAGTCAGGTCACACATTACACTGTAATGAATAAATGTTACAATAGAGTAAATAATGTTTGCCAAGAGCTAATGAAATCCAAAGAAGTGATGGAAATGTGGTGTTTGTGATTTAGTTAGTTTGTATTTTTATTTGACACTTTGTTTTATTATAAGAAAACATGATAGTTTTTCACTGTTTCTCAAAATTATTGAATGAACAATTTTGAAGTTTTAATACACATTCTGAATATTGAGTGAGAGGGCTTTAAAAATACTATCTTGAAACAAGGTCATTAGACAGGCCAAGCCACTTCTCAAGCATTTGGTTAAGGGTATAACTCCACTAGACCAGGGTCTTTTGGGGAGGGATTCATCTGGGTGTGCAGCCTCCATGTGGTTAGGGATGACGGTTTCAATGTTATTTATGTTCTGTGTTTATGGTTGAGTTAAAAAATCAATATCTTGTCTTCATTTCCACAGAGAATAATTTGACTTCGACATCTTAATTAACAAATAAGGTGATGTATACATAACTGTAGTCTATCTAGATCCACGGCCCCTGGCAGAATGTCAAGATTTAACTAGCATTTCTTGCTCTTGCCTGGAGGTTTGGGTAATTGTGATCTGCACCAAGGTTGTTGTTGTTAAGTGTTGTCAAGTTGATTTCAATTCATAGCGACCTTGTATAGGGTTTCTGAGGCTGTATATCGTTGTAAGAGTAAAAAAACCTTATCTGTCTCCTGAGGAACAGCTGGTGGGTTTGAACTGCCAATCTTGTGGTTTGCAGTCCAATGATAATCCTACAGCACCAACAAGATAGGGATTTCTTAAGTTACTCAGTCAGTGGTGGTTTACCTGTGGTGTCTGAGATAGGTGGATCTGAGCTTTTGTTATCTCTGAAAAATGGTCAAACTCCCCTTTCCTTATTTGTGTAAAGGGATACTAATGATAGTTAGGGTGTTCCAAGGTGGTGCAAGAGTTTAATGCTCTCGATTGCTAATGAAAAGGCTGCAAGTTCAAGTCCCCTATGGTGCCTGGGAAGAAAAGCCTAGAGAACTACTTCCAAAAAGTCATTTATTGAAAAGCCTATAGAACCCAGTTCTGTTCTGACGCACATGGGGTCGCCATGAGTCAGAGTCACCTTGACTGCAACTGGAACGGGAGAGAGGAAAGATAGTGATGACGCCTACCTCACAGGGCTGTGTGAGGACTTCCTGAGGCAAAGCACACAGGGTGCTCACCCTACTCTTATTATTATCACTATTAGTTTGCAAGACTAAGTAAAAGCCAGAGAGGGAGATAATAAAATGAGCTGAGAGAGCAAAAGGATAAGGTATCTGGCAAAATGGGGCAAGAGCTTTGGATCTGAGCCACTGTCAGAGAACTGAGACCTTGAGTAGAGAGGGGGAGACTGGCATTGCCTTCATCTGGAGCCTGAAGCAGGGTACTGCTTGGACCCGGACTGGGCTGTGCAGTGTTAAGGCACCACTTAGCTGTGGCCACCAAAGTTGACTGTACTTCAGGAGAAGTACCAGGGGTTGGTTTTAAGTTCTCATGCTTTTTCTTCCAGCCTTGGCCATCATTTCTTTTCCAATCACAAAAACCACTGGACTATTTTGGCATCTTTGAAGTGAGATAACATGTATAATATGCTTGGCACAGAGGCTGACACAGAAGGAGGGCTCTGTCAGTGTGGGTCCTCTCCTTTCCCTACTAGGGAGGGTAGGCGGGCTTCCACATCTACTCTGATGAAGTGGGAGACTTGAACGCCTGTTTGCTCAGGCTTTGCCTGCCCTGGCGCCCAGGAAGAGGCCCCACTGCATTAGTGCTCTTGCATTCTTAATGATTCCACTTAGGCCCAGAAATCGTTTTGTTTTGCTCATCTGTAAGACCCACTGAGGCCTCTCTTGGTTCCTTGTTGATAATTACACAGGCTAAGTGAAGACTTCACCCCAGCAGCAGCCTCATTAACTGGTCAGTTGGCACAGTTTTCATCAGGGCGTAGACAGGGATGCTTTTCGATTTTGAATTAAAGCACTGGTATGGATTGAAGTGTGTTCCCACAAAATATGTGTTGTAAATCCTAACCTCTATGCCTGTAGTTATAATCCCACTTGGGAATGGGTATTCTGTTAGATTAATGAGATAGGATTAGTGCTAGATGTGTCTTGAGTCAACCTCTTACAAGAGACAAAGGAGCAGATTAGGAGGAAGGACTGATGACAAGATGCATGGAGATGCCTAAGGAACCAGGAAATAGAAGCTGAAGAGACAAGGACCTTCTCCTAAGCTGACACAGAGGAAGCCGTCTCCTAGGGCTGTTGTTGTTGTTGTTAAGTGCTGTCAAGTCAGTTCCGAATCATAGCAAATTTGTATAAGGTTTCCAAGGGGTGACTGGTGAGTTCAAACTGCTGACCTTGTGATTCAAATTGACCTTTTGGTCCTGTGCTTACCCTACAGCACCACTCCAGGACTTCTTGGGTACCCTGAATTTGGATTTACAGCCTCCTAAGACTGAAGTTGTCAAGGACTTCATTCTTCTTGAATCAACTATCAACACTCATGGAAGCAGATTTGCCTAATGCAAACAACGTATTGCATTAGGCAAATCTGCTGCACAAGAACTTTTTAAAGTGTTAAAGAGCACTGAGGTGCGCCTGACCCAAGCCATGGTGTTTTCAATAACTTCATATGCATGCGAAAGCTGGACAGTGAATAAGGAAGACCGTAGAAGAATTGATGCTTTTGAGTTATGGTGTTGGAGAATATTGAAAGTGCCATGGGTTGTCAAAAGAACCAATAGATCCATTTTGGAAGAAGTACAGCCAGAGTGCTCCTTAGAGGCCAAGATGGCTAAACTTCATCTCTCATACTTCGGACATATTGGCAGGAGGGACCAGTTGCTGGAGAAGGACATCATGTTTGGTAAAGTGGAGGGTCAGAGAAAAAGAGGAAGACCCCCAACGAGATGGAATGGCCAAGTGGCAGCATCGATGGACTCAAGTGTGGCAACAATAGTGAGGTTGGCCCAGGATCGGGCAGTGTCTCGCTATGAGTCGGTACTGACTCAATAGCACCTAACAACAACAACAAAAAGGAGTCTGGTAGCGTAGTGGTTACAAATTGGGCTGCGAAATGCAGGTCAGCAGTTCGAAACTACCAGTAGGAGAAAGATGAGACTTTTTACTTCTGTAAAGATTCAATGCTTAACTATAACTCTAGTACCAAAAGAAAGGCTTGCTTACATAAATCTACCACCCCCATAAGTCTTGGAAACACAAGAACTCATAACCATTTCAGGGTTAAAACTTTGACTTGATTTGTTAACTGGCCCAACTATCAATTCACTAAACTGAAAACAAATGACTTTGTATCTACAGTCTATTCATTTCTACATGCCAGTGAGCTAAAGCTGCCTCAGAGAACCCACGATCACAAGGAATAGGCTAACTTTTTCTTAGAACCAAAAGCTTCCATTCTCTTCAAGCAATAAAGAGGAAGTGAAGTAGTACTGTACATAGATCCACAAAAAGCAAGTAATCTCAGTGCCATCAAGCTGAAACTCCAGGAAAAGGGCTAAGGGGAGAAATAGTCATACATATTCATGGATGAAAATAAATATTCCTGCCTACTTACTTTTCCTAAATGGTAGTGGCACCCCCTCTATGTGCTGGAGGAAGGAGACAATAGAGAAAAATAGTATTTCAGTCCAAGTCAGAGGCCTTTATTATTCTTTTCATAAACAATTTACTGGCTAGCCAATGTCTTGAAGAGTTATTTGGTAAAACAGAGCTCACTGATGCAGAGACCTAACAATGCAGGAAGGGGCACTTTGTGATTAACCTGGAAGCAGAAAGAGTGTGACTGATAATTGCCCATGTATTTGTTGAGTTTGAATTAGGATTGTTATCTTTAAGAAGGAGTCCTAGTAGTGTAGTGATTCCACATTGGGCTGCTAACTGCAAGGCCAGTAGTTCAAATCCACAGGAGAAAGTTGAGGCTTTCTGCTCCTGTAAAGATTTACTGCCGAAGAAATCCTACATAATCAGGGTCCCTATGAGTTGGAACTGACTGGATGGTACACCACCAACATGACCAAATTTAAGGGTTTCTTAAAAATGAGTCTCAGATTAGCCCTTTCTACCAAGGAAAGCCGTTTGAACTGCAAGGTTGGCAGTTCAAGCTCACCAGCTGCTCCTCAGAAACCCAATACAGGGTTGCTGTGGGTCAGAACCAACTTTACAGCATTTAACAACACCACCAGAGAAAGAGTTGTACTGCTTTCTTTGTAATTCTTTAGATAGAAGCTCCTTAGAAACATAGAGACTACCAATAAACTGTCCTACTTGAGTCCAATATTCTAAGTAGCCTGTCTGCACATATATGTGTGTGTATATTTCCTTCTAGCTATATTTCAAAAAGGATTTAAGGTGGATTGTTTGGATATATAAAATCCAAAATAACTTTAACTAGAAGTTGTTGTTAAGTGTCGTCGAGTTGGTTCTACCCCATAGCGACCCTATATAGGATTTC